TAGTCAAAATGGCAACCTCTGCACCCTGGAATATAAGATAGGACCCAAATGACCAACAATGTGTCAGCACGCAAGGATGGATCTGTCTCATACAGGCATAAGGAATTTTTTTTTCCCATCTCTGTATCTTTAGGACTGGGCTTTCCAGGAAACACAATGCAGGAAGGTGTTTGCACCCCTGTTTAACCTATTTTGCAGATGCCAGCCTTAGCTAACAAGCTTCCAGTGGGTTAGGGCTGAGCTGGGTGTGGAACCGGGGTGTACAGCAGCTTGTGACATTGGTTTCTAGAGAACCTACGGAAATACTGCATCCCTATTCCCCAACCCTAGGGAATGGGACTGCTGCAGGAGACATCCCTAGCGTGGGGCCAGAGGTGGATTGCTGGAAGGCCACATGTTGGTCACCCTTCACCTAACAGAGCCTGGGGTTGAGCCATTACTGAAGGAGAAATCAGGCTGAGCTCTGCTGTTCAAAGTAATCAGACAAGTCTGTGCAAATCCCTGGCCTCACACAGAGATTTATTTCAATCAGGTACACCAAAGCAATTCATCCTCTAAACAGCCTCACTCCCCGTTCTGTGTGCTCACTACCCATGAGGCCCAGCTACGCATTAGTTCCCCTCCTTCCCTCTCTGCGCTTCTCTGCAGCATGTATTCGCTAAATATAATCTGACAGCTTACTTTCTCAGGTCCACGGCCGCAACACCCATGCGTTGCTTCTCTCTGCCAGAAGCTCTATTTTACAAGTCAAGTCGTAGTCTCCCTCCCAGCTCATCTTGCATGAGGAATGAGCACATCTTTGTATCCTCTCCCTTTTCACATCCATCGCTGATGTTGGAAGGGGCTTGCACAGCCATTTGTGGTAGCAAATCCCTCAAACACCTAGCAGCCTCAGAGCCATGCAACCAAGAGTTAACTGTTCTGGTTATTTTGCAAATGCCAGTTAGCCCTCAGCTCTAATCAGTTCATCCACTTCCACTACATCCAGTTTTGGCTTAATTCTAAGTCTCTTTGAAGACATCACACATGTATAATTTCATTGCATAAGGGGGTTTTCACTTACAAGTTGCTATTCTTCAGTAACCTTCTGCCTCACCAGCTTCAAAAGGTGCCATATTTCTCCAATGTACACTCATTGAAATGTCATTGAAATCTGATTTCTAGTTCTATTACCTGACCTATTGCATACCAAATCTCAATGGCCTATTAATTATTCCAGAAAAATCTGGTTCTTGTCAGTATATGTGACACCTCCAACCAAAGGGCTTGTTTAGCCACTTGCTACCTGTAATCCTTGATTCAGGAATCCAGAGTTCATTAGAGTATTGAGTGTTATTTAAGTATTTACATCACTACGATAAAGAGATTATTTCAGGGCACAGACTGGCTATCATCTCTAATATGCAGAAAGAGGAGCAGAGGAGCAAACGTATACAGCTGGTGTACTTTTGTTCCTCCTCTGTTCAAGCTGTTTTTATCGAGAAGAAAAAGCAGAATGGAGAAATCCTTATCTTAAAAAAATGCCTGGGAGCTCAGTGAATTCAGCAGCTCTTTGGATAAAATACCCGCAGTAGCCTTCCCCCTCCCCTGCCTCCTCAGGAACCAGCAGTATTTCTCACAGCTTTCCATTAACTACTTTTATTATCTGAATGTCTGCCCACATGAGTAATTGAGTGAGTCACATCAGCAAAAGACTTGGTGGAGTTTTATGAGGAGGCTGCACTGTAAAATTTTTTTAAATCACAGTTTAATTTACAGAACGAGGATTTTTAGCTGTGGTGACAATTTCAAGACCAGTGCTGCAGCAGTGGGAGAAAGAAACACAGAGGTGATAAGGATATCCAGTTCTTGAGGGTAATTGAGAAAATGTGATTGCTCAGCTCAGTTTACCACACTGGAACAGTACAGCTATAAAATATATAAAGGCTAATGCAGGATGTATGTTTTGCAGTATTTTTACCTTTACTATGTAAAAGTCACCACCAAGTCTGCTCAAGCACAAAAGATGTTCACTTGGAACTATGGTGTATATATAGCAACAGAACCCACCTAGTTATTGCTGCTGCGATATGAAACGGGAGGCCTGATTCAGCAAACCCTCTATATAATTTCCTTTTTCTTTGCATTATGGCAATACTAGACTTACAGAGACATCTAGGCATTTAAACAGCCAAGTAAGTGCTTAATGGGATGTTCAAAATCCTAACACCTAAATGACTTCCAAAATTTGGTTCTAATGACTGAAAGCCACAACTAAGATTTACGTGCAACTCCACTAGGCCAATATATGAAAGTCAGTGGTATTCAATGCAATCACACACTATAAATAATAGTCACAGGCATACAAAGGTTTGCAGGCCCAGGCCCACACTTGAGGTCAATTTAGAGCAGTCTGGTAGCAAGCAATCAATTTGCTCCTTCCTTTTACAAGAACAATACCATCGAATCAAGGCACAGACTCCCGCAAATTTAATATGAATTCTGCACAGTGGAAGGACTTAAGTGCTTCAAACACCCTCACTGTTCCCAAATATCTTGCTCACCAGTAAATGTGGGGCAGCTGCAACCACTGGTCAAGTTGGCATTCCTTCCTATGCGATGGTGTATTCTTGGAGGCATCCCTGTCAGCTCCAATTAACTCACATGGCTCGCTCCTCTCCTCCCAAGGCATCTTTTCCCCATTCAGACTCCTGGAAGAGCTTGAAAAGGCAGAACAGCTACCTTAGAGCCAGGGCAGCTACCTCAGAGCCAGGACATGTTGAGAAGCTGATCTGCCACACAGCGGGCAATCTCCTTTCTCCTAAAGCAGGACAGTGGCAAGTGGTAGCCAAGCTGCCAGAAGGCAGGGCTTTTTTGTCTGCAAACTGTATTTGTGGAAGTTTAGACTCATGTGAGAACACTCACACATGTTGCAACAAGGCATCAGTTCACTGCCCCACACAACAGCAATCCAGTTACTGCTGTCTAATGCCCATGGTGCCCCAAACTCCATCACTGTACCAGACTGACTTACGAGCAGCCAAGGATGGAGTAAGAGTCAGCTTGTGACATACTGGATACTGAAGGCTGCTGAGCAGGTATTGAGGTTGCTGCATTTCTGTTATTTAGGCATCACAGAGTTCCTGCATCTCCTGGGGTTCAGCTGTAAGGCACATGCATGGAGCTACAGCATCAGTGTGCAGCACAAAATACCTGTGGTCTTAAAGGAAGGGACGAAATAAACATGATATATGTAATCAGTAACTCACAGCTAACAAGCCCTCTATGAGTAAGTCAGTTGCTTTCCAGTCCAAGAAACTGCAAAGCCAGAGTACGCATTTTCATGTTAGTGCTGACGTCAGGGCATGAATATTATTCCCAGAATTAAAAATAATATATCTGACAGCAGTGAATTCCAATAGAGGATCCAACAGCAACATGAAAAGTGCAGCTTTTTTCCATACTGCTGGTAGGCTTTATCACTGAAGACGCAGGGAAGTTGACAAGGGTAATAAAGTCGCCCAAACCATGACATTGCCTTAGCTGGATCTGAGTATTGCCTATTCTGTATCAGGCTCTTGGCCAGTATGAAACAATACTGCCAAGTGCCAATTTCCACACTTTGACAATATGACAATATTTGACAACACACTTTGAACTTTGCTTTTTCAGACACCCTTGTTTCCTTCCCCTCCCTCACTCCAAAAAATAAATGGCCAAATATGACTTACTGTTTTTCTCTTCCTGTTCCAACAAACCGATTTTTGTTCCTTTCCTGGATTTGTGGCCTAGGTGAAATTTGGTCAGGGCAAGAGCTTTAATGCGTGAATAGCACCTTCTCTTTTAGATATGACTATTTGTTCCCTCCCAGTCTTCCTTCCCCAAGGCTTCTGAACACAAAGTCCTTGTAGGAATCATTTAGTCTATTGCTGAAACACAGCCCCTGGGCCAGGAGACAGACAGCGCTGCTGGAGCACACCCTTTCATCAGTTAAATTAAAGAACTGCATCCAGCTGATGGCTGGGCCCAGCAAACTCTCTTCTAGCGAGGATACCCGGGGCCTTCTGCCGTAAAGCTCTGAAGGGGAAGATGATCGCTTTACCCTTGCTGCAGTGTCTGAGTCATTACTGAGTTGGAAGCGACTCTTAAAAAAAAAGCCTTTTTCGGTGAGACCAGAAAGTTGGCAGCCAAGCAGGCACAGCATTGGATGTCTCACTGGCAGGCTTGTGACAGAGCTGACCTGCCTAGATGCCAGCAGGGAGGTGGGAGCAGAGCGTGCCAGTACCTGTGAGTGGCTCAGCACTGCAGCGATTGGAGCAGAGAAGCTTCAGAGAGATTCAGAGATGGCCCCAGCACTGATACCCCATATAAAGAGCAAACATTTCCTGCCTAATAGCGTCACTGGAGCATCACATGCCCACCTGCAGCGACGTTTCACTGTCGTTGAGGCAACTGAGACACATTTTACCTATTTCCTCTGCCCTTTCCGTTCTGCATCCCCTCCTCTTTGGCCAAAGCAAAAGGCCTCAGGTAACTTATCACCACTACTAACCCTTATCTGTATGTTAATTATAATTAAGATTTTGCTCCAAGTTACACTGGTTTTAAGGTGGAATCCTGCAAGATTTGTCCTTGTGACTTTTTACTGGCCTAGTATTGATCTATTTAAATTACTTTTCCCATTAAAGAGATGATCAAGTGCTTGTGCCAGAGATATTGGTGCAGATACAGAACTATGACTGATGCTTTGTGCCTTCTGGAAGCAAGGCTTTTCTTTACAGCACGTACTTCATTTATCTTGGGTTTGGCTCCTCTGTAAAAGAAACAGGAATGACCTGAAAAGTAGGGGAAAAAAATCTTTCCACTCCAGCCCTCCCCCAAATCTTTTTGTGGGAAACACAACTGTGTTTTGAATGCTAAAATTCACAGAGATTTAAAAATACTTATCTTCAAGGAATGTTGTCATGGAAACCCTTATCTTTTCTCCTTCTCCACCCTACATATGTGAGGAACATTTACTCTTTTTTTTTTTTTTTTTCTGCATGTGGTAGTTCCTCTTCCCCGTCTGCTACTGCCAAAAACCTGGCATTGAATCCTAAGAGATGTCACACAGGCCTTTTGTTTAGTTTAAAAGCGACTGGTAAAAAACAGTCCTGAGCTCAACTAGAGAGAGATGCCAAGATAGGTACATCTCAGGCTCCAGAGAAAAATGCCTGGAATATTTTCCAGCAATTCCTGCTTTGGACAAGTGGAAAGAAGCAGCAAGAACTGCCATGGCAATTACAACAGTTCTATTTCCTGGTGGCATAACCCACGAGTGATGAAGATTTTTCCTTCTCATTAGAAGCCTTTTTTCCCATTCCCTGTCACTCTTAATAAAAGGTGTAGGGAAGTAGCCTGAGGTCCTGCATGCTCAAAATGCTTTCAGGAAGGTACTACTCTACCCCATTCCTTTTGCCCCAAAGCTACAAGAGGATCCAAGCACAGACTGGAAGCCAACAAACTGCAGATTTCACTTTGCTCATCAGGATACATCTGTATCCAAGGGTCAATGTCAGGGAACCCCTTCTGTAGCACTAACAGAAGCCTTGGGAAGGTCATATATGGCCCTCCTGGGGGGTGAGACTACAGATATCTCCTGCTGTCAGTAAGAAAGTGTGCACAGTACCTGGGACAGACAGAGTGAGAAGGCAATGCTACTTACCTGTGAGTTAAGCAGTACGAAAGTGTTCATGAACAAACTATGCAGATGAGATAGATATATTGTTTTCCCAAGTGGGGTTGCCAGCAGCCCCAAGCTGACATAACTGCCCAGCTAATGGGGGAGCTGGCACAAGAGCTGCCCAAGGTATTTTAAAATCAGCAAACATCCACTCTGCCCAACAACCAATGTTTACTTTTGCAGCAAGCATGACAGAAGTTGCCAAGATCATCTTTTCCATTTAATAATGGAAAATAAAATATGCAACCCTCAGCTCTGTGCTGCATGCCACAGCCTTTACCACCAAATCCTTAAACTGCAGGAACAGGAGAAGGATATTAGTAATTTGCAATAATGGCTCTATATGCAGCCCAGGTTAATTGAAATCTAGAGGCAACACCATTTCTGGATATTTGGGAGGAAGTGGGAGGCTAGCTCAGTAAGCTCTTTGCTCTGCTCAAAGTTATATTAACAACTGTCTCACCAGTTGCCACCAGTACAAGAGTGCCAGCCAGAAACAGACATGACAATCAATTAGCAATGACCTGGCTGCTCCTGGCACCTGTACTGGCTGCCTGCTTCTGAGAGCAGCAGGTTGCATAGCCACAGAGATATATTTAGCCTCCTACCTTTCATGAGTTTGTAGCTCTCTGTAAAAGCTTGTTCTACAGTAAGAGTCCAAGGAATGAAATGACAGCTTTTCAGTATGCTTTTCAAAGCTATCCTGTGGAATTTGTGAAGCAGCTTTCTGGTGTAAAGCAGGAATATGAAGCACAAAAAGCAATAATTCCCTATATTATAGAAGCAACCTCCCACTCTTGGCTTTGTTCCTAGACTAAGGCATTTTCTTGCACAGGTTGCAAAGCTTGCCCACATCCACGTGTTACAGCCAGAAGGCATCTCTGGGCCTTAGAGGTGTCATTAGTGTGTGGGTCTGAGCAGCTGGACTGACAAAACCCTGTTCCCTATTGACTGGACTCCTGAGATTGGATATCTATCTGGTAAAATGCAGGCGCTGACTCGGGCTTTTCCCCAGGCTGGCACCTAACAATGCTTTGGCTTTGCCTGCAATCTTGTGAAATGCCTAGCATGGACTCCCTACGCCCACTCATCTTTATTTTCACAAAAATTTGCAGGAAAATAAGTGTTGAGATTTCAAACCCCGATCCCTGTCAAATGCATCTGATTTGGCTCAAGGGCTCAGAAGTTACTTCTTGTGAGAAGAGAAAGGGGAAAATAGCCAAAATAAGGGGGGAGAGGGCTGCACTCTACAAACGTCTTCCTTAGGAAACCAGGCCAAACGAGAACCAGCTGACCATGTATATTAGACAAGGGGTGAGGGGAAAAATGGGACAAAACTGGTATTTCAAGCTTCCAATCAAAATAGATTAAGACTTCACGAGAAAGCTCTGCTCCATGAACATTCCCATACAAAAAAGGGGATTTGCTGCAGCAGAAAAGGATTCGCAGCTGGGTTGATGAGCATTGCACTAAATCTTGGTAGTCAGGTTGTTTGAAATGATGGACACACACAGAGTGAGGAATGGAAACTTACAGGCTTCAGCAAACAATGTGGCTGTGACCTCAGTGTCACTCTGAGCAGTGTGTAACAAATGCTTGAGAGCGCCTTACCCCCCTCCTTTCCCTCCAGGATCAACACATTTCCTTAAATGATGAGTCAGGATGGGTTTTTGACAGCAGTTTTGAGCAAACAAAAACCTAATCATTGGCTTTCTCCAGCACTTGTGCCACATTCTTCTCATGTATCAGTCACAGACTCCTGTAGCCTGCTTGGTTACTGGCCGAGACTGGGAGTCTTACGGGATGCGATACCTGTGCTGATGGAACATTCATAACAAATTATATGGAATTACTCCCATTGTTTATTCCTAGGGAAAAGCTGTTGCAAGGCAGCTGGCCCATACAGCTTCAGCAAGGCAGAGAAACACTGTAACATAAGTCTAGACAATTACACTTGGGAAGCTTTTCTGGTGCCTGAAAGCTTCACTCCCTATGACACAAAAAAGCAGATCTTTGCCACTCAATTATATTACAGTCAGCTATTCCTTGTCCAGTTCCTACCAGGCACAGTGCTATCCTACCATTTTTTCCCAAGAAGGCAATAACTTAGCCTCCATTTTGCCTCCTCTGCACACCAGGGATGCTTTAAAGTAAAATCCTTTACCACACTGATCTCTCCAGAAGGTTTAGGAAACATCTGCAACCCTCAAGAAAAAGCAGGCCTTTCTGCATAAGCAGTGAAGCAGAGCCTAACATGAATTGCCATCTGGGGACATGACCAACCTTCAGTTAAACAGAGGTCAGATTAGCAAGAGCTTTCTTGCAGTTCATTGTAAAAATCAATGCAAGAGAGGCAGCAAGCTGAACTGCACAACCCTCCTTTTTCTGCCCAGCAGACAAAAAACAGGAGAACAGCATCTCTGCCTCACCTCTCCCCCAACACTAACTGCACTGGGGGGAATCTGAATCTCTACAGCTCCACTAAAAGCAGAGCTGACACATTAAACCCAAGAGCAGAATTTTCTTTGTCTGGTGCCCACAGAGGCTGGCATCAGATGTTAACCCCATAAGAGCTGGTAGGATTGCATTCAGGGCGGCACTCAACAGCAATACAAGAGCCAAAACATTTTTATATGAGCAGCAGATTTCCAGACCTGGAAGGTGCAAGTGAAAGGAACAATGCCTGCCGGAATGGGAACTGCAGCCACCAGGTATGTATCCCTACGTAAAATGTGCCCTGCCTGCAGAGGCAGTAGAAAGTAGCTCTAACGGGAGCCACACGCTCCTGGCCCGCTCAGTGGGACATCGGTACCTGTGTACAGAAGCAGCTGAGGCACACACAGCTGGAGGCTGAGCCATACCTCACCCACCACCACGCAGCTTTTACGTGGGAAGGGGGCTAGGAACTGGAGCTAACAGAAAGGTCAGGTTTATGGGGAAAAGATTATAAAGATCAGGTAAAGAGTGAACCTATGTAAGGGGGCGGGGGGCAGGAAGGGAGAAACACAACCTGAAAAGGAAGTCAGATGGCAATTACTCCAATGAGGTGACGGGGTAAGAGGTTCCTGCCTTGGCAACCATACAGTGGGGCTCTGAAAAATCATTCAGGAGCTGGCCTATGATGTCCAAAAGAGAAAGAAGGAAGCAGGGAAAAGCATGTGAACACATGGCACATGATGCTGCTCTGGCTGGCACCTGTTTCGGAGGAGGAAAAGGATTCTTTGAGAGGCTTTTAAGTTATTAAGTACAATACTAATCCAGAGCCCTATAAAATCAGCACTCTTCAGTATTTGCACGACCAGTCTCATGCTGACCCAGTGCTGAATGAATTGCAAGCATCTGTCAATTTCTGATGCTGATTAGATTAGACACTGCCCTCAGAACTGTCGGTATAGACAATCGCTTTCTCAGGGCTTTGTTCTGTGGTTTTATTCCATTTCATTATATTATTACTGATGTTTCTGTTTTCTCAGGGGCCACACCAATTTTATTCCTCTTGGTTTACTAGCATTTCTCAGTCATCTTTCTCTTGCAATCCCACAGCATAGCAAGATTACACAGCATGAGAACCGGTGGTGCAATTCCCGCCCCACTTTATTTCTCTCTCACACACACTTCCCACAAGATATATCTGCTCTTCTTGACAGTTATAGCTATAGCTCAAGGGAAGAAAAGACACTTTGAATAAAAATACCTATATATAGAGAAAGGCTTTGTCCTTGTGTCTCCAAGGTCTTATCTAGCTAGGATCCATGAAGAAGCATTCCACTGTATAAGAGAGGCTCTGGCTGCTGTTGGAAAGGGGCTGGATTAACCAGAGGTCTGGTCTTTGACTAGAGAGCACCCAACATACACCACTGCAAGGTTTTTTTGCTTTCTTTGCAATGGTTTGGTCAGAGATCCAAGAGCAAATGTAAAAAAGGCATACAGATTAAATCTACTTTAATATGACTATTAGTTGAGTTAGAAAAAGTACCCAAGAGAGGTATGTGGTTAAGAATGTGGAAGGTAAAATCTGGATGTAAAATTCCTTGGCTGAGTCAGTGTGGCACCAGCGTGATTCACCCTAAGACCCTTGCTCAGAAATTCACTGCTGGCACTTTTAGCCCCTTGTTTTGCTTGCTCTTAGCTTCTCTTAGACACCGTTATCCAGGCTTCCTCCTTTGGCGAGGTTACCAGCTCATACTTTGTCTCCATGACTTGTCCTTTCACTGGGTGGAGATGCAGTTTCCTTACCAGGACGCTCAGCAGAACTGTGGCCACCATATAGGCAAACCTGAGGGAAGAGGCAGGATAAAAGAATAAAAACCTTTCTGTGATGTAAATCTGCCACAGGCAACTGCCAGCTTGGACAGATTGTCTCAGCAGTAACAGGAAGAAGCTGAAAGCACCTTCTCTCCTGTCTGCCACTGAGACACACAAAGACCTCTTTCCCTATGCTCACCTCAACTCCGGGCACTCCTGGCTTCCTGAAAAACCCAACAAGGAGAGGTTTTTCATGGCTGATTCCTCGTTGAATCTCTCTGGGTCAAACCTTTGAACGACAAAATACACTGAGGCTTTCTGTGCAGGCACAGGGTCCTTTCCCTGGCCACACGTGCGCACACACACGAGCAAGAAACCGGCAATGAAATGCAGAATGTCACTATGCTCTCTCTAAATCATGCTGGGTAATTCCCCACAGATGTATGAATGCATCCTCTCCATCTATGTTCCCAGCTGGTCAGCTGTGTCCCAGCTTGGTCAAAATGCTGATTAACTGAGTTAGTGTGACACAGGGCTGGAACTAATATGCATTACTTCTCAGCAGTGGGTATTTAGCTTGAGTACACAGCTGAGCTGATGCTGCTACCTACCCTCTATTCCCCTCCAGGGCACACACAATCTGATTTGTCTCCCTCTCTCTCTCCCCCCATGTCCCTTCCTCTCTCACTTCCAAAAATACTTCCCTTTTCTCCTTGCCCCTCACCCTTCTCTTCAAGCAGCTGGTGTGTGTATATCTATGTATATGTGCTGGGGGAGGGAAGCTGGTGACTCATTCAAGTGAGAAAAGTGGTTTCCAGCATTAGGATGGTGGAGGCTGTGAGAAAACTATTATGCAGGGCTGGCATGAGTTAAAACAAGACTCCGATAATGAACTAACCACAGGAAGACCAATAAATTATCATTCAATTTAAAGATATATATAAAAACAAATAGGAAATTTGAGGGATGGAAGACAGTTCTCTTCCACTTTCCACTGAATATTTCTGCTTATACCTCAAGTCTTTGGCTCCCTGCCTAAACATCCAAGCTCTGCTTCTACCAAGGTGAAAAGGCATGTGGGTGCTGACCCTCAGTAAAAGCAGCATCAAACTTACATTCCCACTGAAGTAGCAAATTACAGATATCATAATAGGAAAGAAAACACAGCTGCCTAGCAAAAAAATAGAGACAGCAAACAGCCATGCACAGCGTTTTTGTACAGTAGGTAGGCAAAAGGATCACAGAGAGCTGATCGCCTATCTCCATCACAGAAATACATGTCTACCTCAGGCTAAACCCCAACCTCCTTCTCCTTGGAATAAACGCACTGGATTCATAGCAGTCTTTGCTGTCCCTCTCACGAGGCCTCAGCAAATCCCTCCTAAACACAGTGTGTCCTATCTTAGCGGGTAATCCCTGCCAAGATGCTCATAGATCAGTGCATCAATGCTGACCCTTTTGTAAGAGCTACACTTGCAGGACAGGACAAGCGCTGTTCTAAAGGCTCCATTCTTCCTCCTAAAGCTCAGCTGTCTGGTCTCTCTTTCTAGAATAACTGACCCACATTTTTTCGCAGCCTAAGTGAAGTAAGTCAGACAGACGTTAATATTTGCCACCTGGAGGCCACAGGAAGCTACAGCAATTTTTTTTCTTTACCCTCCAAAATACAGGCCTAGATCCAGTTTTGTTTTCACAGTAAGATAATGAGGTAGCATTTTCCTTCCCCCTAAAAAAACAGAACTTCAGACTGACATTTCCTCCCTTGCATCATTGTTTCATGATGACAAGCCGTGATTCCAAAGCCATTCAAATCATTGTTTCTCTCTTGCAGAAACCTTAAAGTAATTCACCAGCATTCGCTAGGGAAGCTCTGTGTGTGTGTGTGTGCATGCACGTGCACGCATGTGTGTCTGCATGCATGTGTGTGTGCAAAAAAAATTGTTACTAAACTCTAACACATACACACATGCAGACTAGAGCATGGGAGGATCATGACTTGAATTGCCCCAAATTCCCACCCACAGACAAACAAACCAAGACCTTCATAAATTGATTTTCTCACAGACCCCCTTTCATCTCCAAAATCTGCTTAAGGCAGGCCCTGCGGCCAAACAGGCTATGTTGTAAGATCTAAGGAATATTAATTTTAAAAAGGAAAGGAATTAGTGGCAATAAAAATCTTGATTCTACGTACTTGTATGGTGATGGCCACGATGAACTATCCTGCAGCATCACACCAAGAGCATAAAGTACAAGTGTCTGCAAAGAAAATTAGGAGATGTATGTCAGAGCAGAAAGAAATGCACAACTGAAAACATTTCTCGACAGCCCTGCTGGATGACAATTATTCTGTAAACTACTCGTATTTATTAGGTGGATTAAAAATCCAATATGCTGTATTCATCTACAGATTTCCATAATCCATGCCTAGATGTTAGGATTTTAACTTCTAAGGCCCATGCTGCAACTGTTGGTCGCTAGAGAGGGTCTGATCCCAATCCTCTGCTCTTGCTGGCATGTATGTATGCACTGCTTTATTCTCTGCAATGGAAGGCACTGCTCTGTGTGGGAAACACGGGGGATATGGTCAGGCCTGAAATCATGCTCTTTTATGCACAGCTGAGCCCATAAGTCCCTTCAAAAGATGATTCATCCCTGGTGGACCCAAAACCAGAAATGAATCTGCTCAGCAAGAGAACAAGAATTCCCAGAGCCTCTTCCGCAGAGGAACTGCAGGGCAAACGTTGAGCTAAACTGTACTTTCGGATGACAGAGCAGCTGCTCAGGTTCAACAGTGTCAGAAAAAATGGTCTTCCTGCCTCACCCCTCCGCGGGAAGAAGAGGAAACAGCAAATTCCCCTCCAGGAAAGGAGAGTGGCCTTGTGCTCCCAGTACTGCCCTACCTCTTTGGGGATAGTATGTTGGTCGACTCTGCCCTCCAGCTCCTGCAGCTGTGCAGCAACGGGAGTAAGCTTTGCTGTTCGCACCGTCTCACACAGCACTTGCCGACAGTATCTGCAACCAGTAAGACTTGGTTAGTTTAACCTTCCCAGAGAGAAGCTTGTCCACGTAGTTGTGGCAGCAAAGACAGCTGAGTCACCTGCTGCATTTAGGGTCACAGCTACAGATGCCCTGAAGAGAGCATATCTGGAGCCCTACAGCAGAGTCTCTCCATGCTGCAAGTCATCCTGTGGTTTGATCACTTCCAGAAAAAAGACGGGCCTTCTCCTAGCCTAGTATGGGCTCCAGCACATGAAGTCCCTGTTCCCACCACATGAGTTAATCTTCTTCTGGGGTCCCTTCCACAACACCCACCTGAGCTGCTCAATTTTCTCATGAGTAATTGGTCCCTTCCCTAGAACTTGGTCCATCTCCTTGTAGAGATTCTTCTGAACATCTTCTGAGGTTGTCAGGAAATAGACTGCCCAAGTACACACTGGGGAAGAAATCAAGACAATATTGGATCCAGATTTTTTTTTTTTTTTTAACAGACTGCTTTTAGTTTTCTTATTTCCTTTACTTGCAATATTACTTTTTGATGTATAGAAGGTTGACCTTGACCTCTGTTCACAGCAAGCTGTACTGACTCTTGTATCCAGTGGCAGGAGTAGAGGCTGAACTCATGTACAGCACGAGACCCTGCAAACTAAAATTCCCTTTCCAATGCCACAAGGAGCTTAGGGAGCTGTGCAGGAGACTTGAGCTGTTCAGCCTCACAGCTTTGGGGAAGGGATTACACAGCCCAGCAAACCTGGGGAACCAGGGTTATTAGACCAACCATGCAAATGAAAGGCTGGTTTGTCCAAAGCATCAGAAAATTCCCTTATTGAGGGGGCTTCCCCAGCACACCTCAGGTGAGTGCTCAACAGCCAATGTCTGGGGCTCCTGACAGGGAGTGATGAGAACAGTACAACTCTCTGCAGCAGGCTGGCCACCACTTGTCTCCCCTATATCTATTTTGTGAGGCACTCAAGAGATATCTTCAACAGCAGAGTGAGAAAGAAACCTTGCATAAGAAATAAGTGTGTAGGATGCAGTTTCCCTAAAGCTACAAGGGAATGTTTCTACCACTCCAAACAACCTATTCATGAGAACTATCTGGAATCCCTGAGCAGTAAAGCCCCTTAAAAAGAAGGTCTTCCTGGAGGAACAAGGAGAGGGTATTCTCTGGGGACAGTATTGTCACAGTTGCCAAATTTAATTTCCACATTCTTTAACACCCAGATGCATCTGGGAGGCTTTCTTTGGAGCTCCAGCCCCATTGGCTGAGATACGAGGCCTGATAATCTTCCTTCTATCATAAGAGATTTTACACATTTGTTTTGGGTTTTTTTTCCCCATAATCTTTACATAAATCCCAAAGTAGCTCCTTTGAAAGTCTTCCATACAGAGAACACACCTATCCTCCAGAAATCCAAAGCATCCAGTCAGATTCCAGCACTCTGCTCTAATTTCCTTCCCATGTGCCAGAACCTATTTTACAACATGATCCTTGTGGCTTACATCTTTTGGTACTTTTTCATCAAATTTAGCATCAGTTGGCTGGGGTTAGCGTGCAAGGAAAAAGCAATGGGAAGAAATTCTAAGGTTCACCAAAAGACTGGGAAGGTTGTCAAACACAGCATAGTTTAAACTCACTAGCTGTGAGGCTGTGTCGAGAGTCCGCTGTAAAATTAGCTTCCTCTACATACATCTGTAGCTCAGGAGAAACAGAATGATGAACATAATTTTTTTATTAGCCTAGAATAAGTCTCACGTCATCACACGCAGTTTTAGACAGCTGAGTGTAAGGATGGAAAGTTACCTACAATCTGTACTTACAGTTAGCAGTGATTATGCATCCTGCCAAGGAGAAAATCATTGTATCTTCCAGAATCTAGGAAATAAAATCTACTTCAGAGAATGAAGTTCATAAGACTGTAAAGATAAAAAAAGAAATGGCACATTCTCCATTCAAGTGCATGAAATCCCTTTAGTTCAGAGAGCAGGAAATACATCTAGAAGACACAGACTGAACTCTACAGAACTTCCACTGGAATGGCACATAAGTCATGCTTAATACTAACATACTTCTTTTATTAAAAATAAAAATAGCAACGAAGCAGTGGCAAGGAAAGCCACCAAAGCCTAATGCAATTAAACACTGTAGGAATGGAAAAAGAAAAAGAATAAGAAACCCTGCTTTAGTAAGGAATCTGAACATGCACAAACTTAAATTAATCAAAGACTACAGTGTAATGAGCTTGTAATAGCAAAAGTCCGTTACTGTGTAATGACATGACAGCTGCACAGACCTGCTGGTCACTCAGGCTCCCCTGCAGCAAGGTGTCTATAAAGACGTGCCTGTTGAATGATCTGCCTCGGCGCTCCTTTGTAACTTTCCTTAAGGTGGATTCCATCTCCATCAGAGCTTTGGAAGCAAAAAGAAATGTTTATTTTAAAACCTGATCATCCTGAGAGGCTGCAGAGAAGCAAATCCATCTCCCCAGGCAGATTTTCGGACCAGCTGTCCCTGCTGGGCTCAGTTAACGGAAGCAGGCTCTGTTACATAGTACTGTCAATTTGGAAGGTGGCATCTCCAATTTAGTTGAAAATGTGGGAACCAAACAAGACAGGTTGCCTATAAAAAGCCACCCTTACAGGTATAACCGAGAAATGTACTCTGTGAGCTGAGATCACGTAAGGGGAATAACAGTTAGTGTTGAACCATCAGAGAATGCGTTTAATCAGCCCCCATAAAAAACCAAACATTTGAGCCACATAACACTAGTTGCATGGCCTAACTCCTGGTGGCTGTTGTGGGAACTGGGGAAATTAGGGACCAAGATGCCATTGGCTGTCTGATTTAAATGATTAACTCAAGACTACCCAGGAAACATGGAGCAGAAGGCAGACCTGGAACTTGATTTACCGAGGCCCAACTCAGCCCCTTCGTCTTAGAACTACCCTTCTTCCCTCCTGTCCACATAGGAAGCCCAGCAACAGTTAAACACCAAGCCTCACTATCCAGACATAGAGTTTGTGAAATTATGTCCTAATGCATCATCCTACTACAACTCAGGAACAGTCCTGAACAAGAACCCATGGGAGAAGCCCATTTTAACTGGGCAGTAGTTCTCAGGTCCTGAAACCCAAAGAACAAGCAACATAAAGAAGGAAACACGGGGTTTGGAGGATTTTAAAGGAAATCCTTAGTTCTAGATACAAGCTACTTTTATTTAACATCTTATCAATCAATACTGAAAGGCTTTAACTATTAACAACAAAAAAGACAGGACAATCAAAAAATAAAATAACTTACTCTGAACCATATGAGAAATAAAAGGACTGCCAAAACAGACCTGAAAATCATGTTACCTTGTAATAGCACATCAGAGGCTATCACGTGGAAGGTATCCATCAAAGCAGCACCTCTGTACTTGTGTCTTCTAGCCTGACTGTCAGTGCATTAACCAAATGGTGCATCATAAGAAGGACCACACAGGCCAAACCAAGTGGCTCCATCTGTCTCCACCTAGCACAGTCTCCTGCCTCCAAGAAGAGGTCAAAAGTGGACACTAGGGAACAGAACAGGAAGGGAGCAAGCACAAGATACTTCCCAGGATCCTCTCTCAGAACTCCAGACTGGACAGACACTAGAACTAGACCTGGATCTAGAGTCCTAATCCTTCAAACTTCTTGCACAATGGCACACTTGTCACTCAACTCCAAAACAATGGTTTTATGCAAGAGTAAGGAGGACACACCTGGTAGCTTATGGCATGATGATCAACTCTGCAGAAAAGCCAAGATAACCGGGCAAATTAAGTGCTTCCATAGTCTAGCTAACTATAAGTATTAATCAGAGTGGGAGGAAGACTGTGATTTTGGGAAGAACCTACCATCTTCGTAGAGCTTCTTCCTAGTCAGGTTTTTGTCAAGGGACCCATCCAAAAAACCTTTCCCAATCTCCGCCCAGATCTGAAAGGACAGGGGGAAGAGCACCATCACTCACACAGGCTGAGACTGCTGGGACTCTTCTATTATTCCCTATTAAGGAAAATTAAAACACCAAATAAAATGAAGACTTGCTGTGAATATGGAACTGGTCTCCTTTTTGGAACACCATGTCCTATTCCAGATATTACATCTGTGATAGCTGAAATTGAATTGAAATGAAACAACTGTAATTACAACTGTAGGGGAAAAGACATGGGAATCTTGAACAGTAGATGGAACTGTTTCTTTCTCACCCTATGAACATCAGATCTAAAATCCCCAGATATGGACAAAGTTTGAGACCTCCTCAGATTTTCCTTTCCCCACATTGTCACAGCGCCTCCAGAAGATCTTTAAAAAGAAAAAGTTCCACTGGCATTCCCACTAGAGTTTAACTGACTTAGGTACCAAACACATCTCAACTGCCATTGGATCTGGGTTCCCAATCCCCACAGATCCTTTAGAAACACCTTAGACTAATGACAGCAGGATCAGCAGTAGGATCTTTCTGATAGTTTCAGCGTGGGACAATTGAGGCAGAGCCCTTAAGCTCTTTAGCTTAATGTTAGCTTAATGTTAAAGCCTCAGCAGTAGCTTGTACTCAACTGTACACAGACACAAGTTGTGTGGTTGGAGTGGAAAAATATAATAGGAGATTTCCTGGCTCTTCGTGACACTTACTGCATCATGGTGCCTGCGGAATCGGATAACTTCCCGGTCATCTTCAAAGCTGCTGCCCATAGCTGTCTGCGTGACAGACTTCATGGCAAAGCCCAGCATGTGCTGGCAGAGTGGCACATGTTGTGCCTCAGGGAGGGAGAGCCATTTGGCCAGCAACTCTTCTGACAGCTTGAGAGGGAAGGAACCATTAGTTGGCAGTAATATCAGCAGCCTATTTACCAAACATACCCTGGAGACATTCCCACCCAGTTCCTATGGCAGACCACACTCTCATGGCTATGGCATGAAGCTACAAACTTCCCAGGGTTTCCTTCCATTGTTAAATTAACAGTAACATTTTAGTCTCTGATCTTTTGCCTCTTCCCAAGGTTTTCCACCAACAAGGCAGCCTCTGTCACAAAAGAAACCTTAAAAGCATTAATACTAGTAGCTGGTATACTATAGGGAACTATACTGGGAATACTAGACTGGGAAAACAGATCATATTCTGGCTGCTAGACTGAGTCAACAGAACAGCTCCTCGCCTGTTTATGGTCCCAGTAGTTGGTTCCTTGCTCCTCCCTTCTGTCCTGGGAAATAAATTTAGAATCCAGATGCTCCAGTACCTTTAACTGCACCTGGTATCTTGGCATAGAAAGTTACCAAGCTCAGCCCTTCCCCCTAACCCACTGGAGCTAAGAGAAACCATACATTCACACCATGCTTAAATGGGCAGAGGCTGTTCACTGTCTCAGATGCTTATAGTTCCAGCGCTAATTTGAATGCAGCTCCTTTATTCTAGTAATCATCCTCACCAAATGTACCCCTGTGAGCCACACAGGGCTTCTCTGCAGTATAAAGTCAGCTACGTACCTTCTGGATGAGAGCAAGGTTACTTTGCAAGGACTTGGTCACACCATTTTCATACAGCTTTCTCCTTCTGTGGCTCTCTCCTGTATCCCCATTCAGGCTGGACTGGTACCTCAAGAGGGACTTTAGCATGGTCTCAAAGGGATCCACTGAAAGCAAATGAAGGAAACACCATTCAAAAGTCAGGCAGCCACACCACACAGGGATGATAAAAACAGCAATCTCTTTAATCGTGTGCTGCTGCTTCTAGGCAGTGAGCAAGGCATGGCTCCTTCCCCCAGGAACAGTCTTCTTTGGGGTATCAAGCTTCTCTTGCTCAGTTTGGGCTGGGACCTCGTAAAGTCTCTTCTCTGTAGCAGGGTACCATCCTGCGATCAGCTCCCCTGCAGAGGTTGCCTGCTGGCTCTGCCAAGTAGCTCTTTAGTAATAACACTTTGGAAGCTTGTTCCCAGCTTGCCAGATCCCATCTGGTTGTGCCATTGACTTGGTGACAACACTAAGATCCTTCCCCTTCTCCACCAGCCTGATCTGCAGCCCCCTTAGCACATTCCCTCTTGACACCTGGTGCGCCCTCCTGCCCTGACCATGGTCATGCACTCAAGACACAGCAGCTCATGAGAGACACTGCGCGCTCCTTACCTTGCTTCCCAGCCCTGGCAAACCTTATTTGACACCCTACTGCTCCTGGGTGATTTCTCTTCCATGCACCGAGTTCCCTGCTGATGAGCTCTTCCCAAACCAACGTCTACCCCTCTCAGTCAGGGATGCCTCCAGCAGAGAAGCTCTTACAGAAAACAGCACCCCACTAAGCTACAGAATAATTTCTACTTCTCATCGCCTTACTTTCCATCTTCCTTCAACACAGACACTTGCAACAGTGTACAAACTAGACAAAAACACATATCCTCCATCTTACATCTCTATGGCTCACTTCAGTTAGATTTTAAACTCTGAATTTCACCACCAGGGGCCTCAACTTAATAAATTTGCTAAAGTATATTAGATGCCAGTGCAAGACTGTGCAATAAAGCAGGGCATATGCTTTTCCCTTTCTGTAAACTTTTCTGTGGGTCTTGCAGAACTGGCAGAATCTGTAAAGAATTATTTGGAAGCAGCAAGCAGAAGGTTTTCAAAAGGGGTATTTTCACTGTTTATCATAGTGTGTTATTTGTCCCAGATGGGAGTGAAACCTCTGAGGCATCAGAAGACATCAAAGCTGGGCTAGACACATATGACCCTACCGACTGTGGATGAATCTAAGATTCCCAGCAGAGGTCAGGGCCTCATTATGCTACTGGACAAATATACAAGAGACAATTCCCACCTGCAAGGTACTAATGACACAAAAGCAGCTAACAAGGCCAGATGCATGAATATGGTAAACTTTCCTAAATGCTTTTCTCTCACTATATTTCCCTTCCAATGTTTTTAAGCTCGGCATCTCACCCTCCTTCCCACTTTGAATGACAAGGAGTATGTGCCTGTGTCTTTTGGTACAGCAGATGGTACCTGCAGCTCTCCACGTGGAGCAGGCTGTTATGTGACTCCAACCGCTGCTGCCAATTCCTCCTCCAAAGTGCTTTGCCATGGAGTGGCTGCTGCTATTCATGCCACGTTTCCCTGCTGACTGGCCCTGGCAGAGCTAGGCACAGTACTGGGGTAGCCAGAAAGACACATGGCTGGTGGTAAAGCCCACACAGCAAATCTGGCAAGCAGAGGCATTTGGAAAGGTCAGAGGATGCTTAGCACCATCATCCGCAGAAACTGCAAAGATCTCCTGGTGCATATGAAAGAAAACTCCTGGATCAGCCACAGGCTCCATTTTTTGATCCCCTGTCCCTAGTGCAGTCCTGGCACTGATACACTCACTGTTGTGAACTCAGGATTGCAGAGCCCAGGCTGCCCTTTGCTGATGGCTGGCCCTGCCTCGCCGTATTTGGGAAACGGTTATTTCTCCACAGCTATGGGAGGCGAGTGACTCCACAAGGCACAATCACCTCTTGGAGACACTGTCCTGCCAGGACTTCCATGGATTTCTTCCTTTGTCCTTGTCTTGAAAACATCTCTAGGGTTACATTTTCAGTCCTCTTAGTGAAGCATATCAAAATTTCAACTGTTCCTTCCACTTATAAGAAAATCTTCTTCCTCATTCCAAGAACCTCAGATTTCTGTCCTGGACACCACTGTAAGTAAACATGGAGAAAAGATCTACCTCTGGATAGTCGGGACAGTTGCCAAGTAGAACTGAACATCAGACATAGAAAGGACCTCTGAAGCTGCACAGTACAAATGCACACAGAACAGCAGTGAAGATGTCCTTCTGAAACAGGCCAGGACCCATAGCTCCATCTTGAGCATTCAATGTCCTTCAGGTTCACTGTCCCTAACCCAAAAGGTGGCATCAACTCATGGGAATTTTCCAAGTGGGTCTCTGAATCCACTGCTCCTGGCAATCCTGAACTAGTCCACCCTCTTCACATCCACACCCTTCGCAGGCCTGGACTGCCTCCCCAGAGCCTCTCACAGGAATCACCAGTATCAGTAGCAAAGTTTTACTTCCTTTGAATTCTCCTTGCAAATTAATCTCAACCAAGCTTTAAGAGGACATAAAAATGTACCAATTTCAAACACTGTTTAAGCATGAGGAAAAACAGTTGCCTGGCATTGGGAGCCTGTTAATAACTATGAATGCAATTAGTCCAACTTCAAGACTCCCGTGAGAGATGCACCTCTCTCTTTCTCTCTCCAAGAACCATACCTGTGACACACTCATGAGATGAGAGGAACCTTTCTATGGTACTTGGAGCCAAACCCTATACCTCAAACTTGGAAACCGACAAGCAGGTACCTATGAAGGGCAGCTCCAGCCTCAGGTACCCCAGCAAAATGAGGAGTCATCACATGGCAAGGGTTTTCAGGTGGGGCTGGAGTCAGGAGTTGGATATAACCCAGTCCACAGTGGGCTGTCTCCTGCCTCACAGCACTGTTTACACGGAAGAGATAAAGGCAAGGCCAGATGTCCAACAAAACTGCAAGCTGCCCAGAGCCAGCTGGTGGCTGAGAGCTACCACAACACCTATTGCCACTCACCAGGAAACGGTACCGGAACTGTTTTGCTGCAGCCACTCAGCTACTATGTGTTGTTTATACCCCAAAGCCCCAGCAAAAATAACCAGTGAGATTTCTCACTCTAATAAAATTGGACCACTTCTGACAAACATCAGTGCTAGAAGGAAAGCACTGATACAATGAACATCACTGCTTTTTCAGGTCTGAGTTCAGTACAGATCACAAGAACGCTCCTTAAGCCTGCTGCTGCTGCCTTTATACAGGGATTCCCCCATAGCTCTTCCTTCTGCTGGGCTGAACACTTTCCCTGGTTCCTCCTGCACAACAGGCTCCCCGCTCCAAGAGCACTGGCAGCTTTTCTTTGCGCTTGCTTTATTCAAAGTCATGCCTGAGTACACAGGTCATAGCCGTACACAGGATGCCAGATCTGGCTCACTTTAATCTTGTGCAATAGCCTAGATGCTTTCCTCTCCCTACAGAATGCATCCTCAATGCACCCTTTTCTTTTTTTTCCATGGCCACATCATCCTGCAGGCAATGAATACAGCCTGCTCCTGCTCCTCCCCTTCCTGTTTCTGCCACCTCGCCCTCAGGGGTTCCCATCTCCTTGCTCCAACACTCTGCTTCACTGTGCTGACAAGGGGTCCCAGCGTGATGCCATGAGGGCAGGCTGCTGACATATGTGGGCATATTTCACCTCCCCAACCCAGCATTTCTCCTTCCCTACACAATCCAGCCTCACTCCCTTTGTCACTTCTCATATTCCATTACCTCCAGCTTCAGTGATGACCCAAGCAGTGTCCAAGCAGATGCTGAACTGAAACCCTGACAGAAACACAGTTCTATCACTTTCTTTGTCTAGACCTGTAATTATCAAAGAAGTATGGTGTGCATTTCCTACTTATCCCCATGCTTAAAAAATATGTTTAGCCCTTGGCATAGAAGGACACCAGGCTAGTCTGTAACCACCTAGGTCACATTTCCTGTATTGAAGTCCACGCACAATATTTGTTTCTCTCCAGTATTTGGGTACTCCCAAATTCAATACATTTCTGAGAACTTGCCTGCTCAGGGTCCTGTTACCACTCCTCTGAGCTTTAAAGACAGCGACTGTCTGCTCAGTTTCCTACAAACACGCTTGAGTGCATTTGGATCTTTCAGGGTGGGTTCCCACCTTCTGGAGTGCCATTGCTGTCGACTTGCTGATCTTCGTTAACTCCCACTCCTTTCCCAGATCATCACCAAATTTGTTAAGTCTGTCATGCAACTGTAGAAGAAGCTTACCCATCATGACCCCAGCATAAAGTGATGCTGAGGCATCTGCCAGTGCCTAAAGACAGCCTACAGTATCAGGTCAGAGAAGTACAACCAGCACCTCATTCAACCTTTTAAGATAAAAACTGGAAAAACAAGAGGTTAAACCCAAATATCAACTGAGTTAACAGACTTAGAAAGCAAAACCTAAGAGACCTAAGAGTCTTACACCGTAAATTAAAATATCCTCCTAGGATTAAGAGGGTCAACTCAGCTACCAGCATCACTGACCACTTTCAAGTCTAGAAGATCACTAGAGGCTTTCAGCACAAAATTCTACATGCCAAAGAAAACAAAAGTTAGTAACTTATTTGAATAATACTTTAAAAACCTCCACACTAAACCACACATGGGAGCTATTACAAACTAGTACAGCTCTTTCCAGGCTTAATTTAGTGTATTTCCCTCCCTTAAATTGTATTTCAAGCTGCTTTTAAAATCAATGTGAAGTTGTTACAGGATCCTCACCTTGCTGTTTCAAATTACTAATAAGCACAATGCTTTCCATAAACACGTGCCTGTAGGGAGATGGTAAAAGACACAAGCACACTAATTTCTTGATGGTCACTGGACAGGAGCAACTCTTGGTCATTGATGTTCAAGTCCAATATGTAGGACAAAGGACATACCTGAACCACCGTGTCAGCTGCAGACTAAGTCTCATTTTTTTTCTACTTACAATGAAACCCCACTTTCTTTTGACACAGGATGCCCAACAAAGCCAAAAGGAATAAACGGACTCAAAGACAAAGCAAAGGACACTTACACAACCGGTTGGGGTTAACATGTTGTTTCAGGAGATCAATTGAGCCAAGGCTGACAACAAGACGCCTTCCAAACCAGAAAGAGACCAGTGGGCCATATTTCTCATGAAGATTCACCAGGAACTCATGCAGACTGCTGCTGGCAATGATATCTGGTAGGTTGCCGTCCCTGAGAAACACAATGAGGATACTTTCTCATGAACAGCATCCACTGGCAAGGCAGAACTTGATTGATGTGAAGATGGAAAGCACTTACTTTTCATCAGTTGGAGCCAGCCCAGGAATACCTGACGCTTGCCTAGATGCCTAGAGAGTAAAAGGAAATGCATCAAACTCCTTAAACCTAGATTTTCTACAATCCTCACAGCTTTCCAGCACAGAGAGATGGATTTTCCACATCAATACTGCTGTACAACTACTTACAAACATTAAACAAAAGCTAGATAAGCTGTATCTTTAGGCCCCAAACCCGCTAGGGCTTATGAAGCCAATCGACTGCGTGTGCCCAGGGGCCAAACCAGGGTGATTCACCGGGCCAGATGAAAGATCCCTGCACAGAGACCTACGGGGTGGGGTTTGCAGCACGGATCTTACACGCAGGGTTTGCCCAGGAGATGCGCACCCGCGGTGAGCTGGCAAAGCCTCCCTGAGGGGAGCTCCCCGGGGCAGGCCGAGACCGAGGTGTACCCACCCCCCCGGGCTCGGGAGGGGGCCACCACCTCCAGGGGCCGCCCCCCGCCCGCCAGGACCCCAACCCCGGGGACATCCACCCGGGACACCCCAGCAGGGGGACGTGGGAAGGGGCCGGGGTCGCCCGGGGCTCGGTGGCGGCTGGGCCCCGGGGCCGCCCGCTCCCTGCCCGCCTGCACCGGGGGCCGGGCCGTGAGCCCCCCCCTCTGCCCCGCCACCGGCGGCATTACCGGGTAGAGGTAGAGCACGGCGCCCACCAGGATGAGCAGGAAAGTAACGGCAAAGATGGCGAAGTCCAGCATGGCCGGGCCGGGGCGGCGGGAGCGGCGGCGGCAGCTGGGCCCCACCCCGCGGGCCGCCGGCGGGGCAGGAAGGGG